TCCCTGTTTTACAGGAGAGGAAAAGAGGCTGTGTGCCTAAGTGCTTGTGGAGTCAGTGAATGAACAAGCATCACCTCTCCTCCCAAAGGCAGTGGGAATAAAAGAGCGTATTCTGGAGACTAGGAAATGTTATCCTTGCAAAGGTGGAGAACACAGGACCACGCCTAGTATTCAGGTCCCCAATCTGGGGTAGCAGCTTCCTAGGTGGGCTTCTCTCTATTGAAGATGCACTCACATCTGTCCCTCATTGTAACTTGCCTGGGAGCCACATCTGTCTCTTAGGAGTAGGTGCCTTTGATAATAGGCTGTGTGACCTTGAGCAAAGCCTTCTCCTCTCTGGAGCTTGGGATCTTCTGTCTGGCTGTAGAAGGCTCCATGGGCTTGCCCTGTCCCCATGTTTTCTTCTTTTTATTTATTTACTTATTTACTGGTTTGTAGAGAGAGACCTTGATTTGTTGTTCCACTTATTTATGCATTTATTGGTTGATTCTTTTTTAAAATTTATTTTTTACTATTCACAGTGTTATACATGTTCCCCATTTCCCCCCTTTAGCCTCCCTGAACCCAGCCCTCACCCCACCCCAGGCCTTCACTCTTGTCTGTGTCCATGGGCTATGCATGTATGCGTATATGTTCTTTAGTTCATCTCTTCCTGTCCCCTCCACCAACCTTCCCTCCTGAGATCTATCGGTCTGTTCTATGCATCCATGCCTCTGGACCTATTTGTCAGTTTATTTTGTTCATTAGATTCCACATGTAAGTGAAATCATGAGATATTTGTCTTTCCCTGACTGGTTTATTTCACTTAGCATAATACTCTCCAGGTCCATTCATGCTGTCTCTAAGGGTAAAAGATCCTTCTTTTTCACAGCTACATAGTATTCTATTGTGTAAATATACCACAGCATTTATTTATTTATTTATTTATTTATTTATTTATTTATTTAGGTTAATCCCCACCCAAAGATATTTTTTCCTTTGATTTTTAGAGAGAGCGGAAGGGAAGAAGGGAATGGGGAGAGAGAGAGAGAGAGAAATATTGATGTGAGAGAGACACATCCACATCAATTGATTGCCTCCTGCACATGCCCCGATCAGGGCTGGGGATCAAACCTGAAACCCAGGTACATGCCCTTGACCAGAATCGAAGTACATGGGCCGACACAGCTTTTGTCCTCACTCGAGAACATTTTTTTGATATTTTTGTTCAGATAGAGTGGGAGGGAGAGAGAGAGAGAAACATCGATGTGAAAGGGACACATCAAGTGGCTGCCACCCAACCAGGGCCGGAGACAAACTGCAACCAAGGTACGTGCCCTTAGCGGGAACCGAACCCGGGTCTCTCTGGACCGCAGGCCGATGCTCTAACCGCTGAGCCAAACCGGCCCGGGCCCGACACAGCTTTTGTATCCACTCATCTATTGATGAGTGAAAGGGTTAGTAATGTTTTATTTTTTTAATATTTAAAAAAAATTATTTTATTTTATTAGTATTATTATTTTTTATCCTCACCCGAGGACATTTTTCAATATTTTGTTCAGATAGAGTGGGAGAGGGAGAGGGAGAGAGAGAAAGAAAGAGAGAGAGAAACATCGACATGAAACATCGACGTGCCACCCACACGTCCCAACCAGGGCCAGGGACAAACTGCGACCAAGGTACGTGCCCTTAGCGGGAACTAAACCTGGGTCTCTCCGGACCGCAGGCCGGTGCTCTAACCACTTAGCACACTGGCCAGGGCGGGTTAGTAATGTTTTAACAAAATTAAACTCCGTTCTGACCAGTTATTCCTGCACGTAAACACCCGAGCAGTTTTCTAAAAGCCCTGGGCCTGACACCCAGAGGAAACATAAAGATAAGGGGTTAATGGTGGCTTTGGGAAACTTGGAGGGACCATAAAAAGAAAGAGATTAATGATGGCCCAGACCCTGCTGGTGCAGATTCCCCCCTTCCCTCTGAGACAGTGTGTATCAGCCCCGGCACCAATTACGTGGTGCCAAGAGAATGTGGGTTTTTTTTAATGTAGTTTTTTTTGTAGTTTCTGTAGCTTGTGCCTCTATAAGCCAGAGAACAAAGAAGGTTCAAGGCTGATCCCTTCTCGGCTCAGCTCGCCTGCACCAGGCGTATGCAATAAAGCTATTTTGCTCTACATTGGCCTTGTGTTGTGGATGTGATCTCCCGCCAGCTCAGACCTTCTAATGAGTACTTGGGCTGTTTCCAGATCTTTTTTTTTTTTTTAAATGTTTTTATTGATTTTTTTAGAGAGAGAGAAAGGGAGAGAAACATCGATTTGAGAGAGACACATCGATTGGCTGCCTCCTGCATGTCCCCTACTGGTGATCAGGTCCCCAACCCAGGCATGTGCCCTGACCTGGAATTGAACCAGGACCTCTCTGTCCATGGGATGACGCTCAATCAACTGGGCCACATAGGCCGGGCTGTTTCCAGATCTTAACTATTGTAAATAACACTGCTGTGAACATAGGGGTGCGTATACTCTTTCTGATTGATGTTTCAAGATTCTTAGGATATATCCCCAGAAGTGGGACCGCTGGGTCAAACAGCAGTTCCATTTTCAATTTTTTTATTTTTATTTATTTTTTATCCTCACCCGAGGACATTTTTCCATTTTTTGTTCATATAGAGTGGGAGAGGAAGAGAGAGAGAGAGAGAAACATCGACATGAAAGGGACACATCGAGTGGCTGCCACCCACACTACCGACCAGGGCCGGGGACAAACTGCAACCAAGGCACATGCCCTCAGCGGGAACCGAACCCGAGTCTCTCTGGACTGCAGGCCGACGCTCTAACCGCTGAGCCAAACTGGCCAGGGCTCCATTTTCAACTTTTTGAGAAAACTCCATACTGTGTTTTCCACAGTGGCTAACTGGTCTGCATTCAGACCGCAGTTCCCTTTTCCTCACATCCTTGCCAGCATTTGTTTGTTGATTTATTGAAGGTGGCCATTCTGGCAGGTGTGAGGTGATAATGCATTGTAGTTTTAGTTTGCATCGCTCTGATGATTAGTGACATTAAGCATTTTTTTCATATGTTTATTGGCCATCTATATGTCCTCTTTGGAGAAGTGTCTATTCAGGTCCTTTGCCCATTTTTTTTCATTAAAAAAAAAAAAACTTCACCCAATGATATTTTTCCATTTATCTTCAGATAGAGTGGGAGGGAGGGATGGAGGGGGGGGCGGGTTGAGAGAGAAACATTGATGTTCGAGAGACACATTGATTGGCTCCCTCCCGCATGACCCTGACCAGGGCCAGGGACCAAACCGAAACCGAGGCATATGCCCTTGATCAGAATCGATCCCTCAACTCTTTGGTCCATGGGCCAATGCTCCAACCACTGAGCCAAACCGGCCAGGGCGCCTTTGCCCATTTTTTAATTGGCTTGTTTGTTTTCCTGGCATTCTTTATATATTTTGAAAATTAACTCCTTATCAGATGTATCACTGGCAAATATAATCTTCTATACAGTGGGTTCCCTCTTCATTTTGATGGTGGTTTCTTTTGCTGTGCAGAAGCATTTTAGTTTGATGTAGTCCCATTTGTTTATTTTTTTCCTTTGTCTTCATTGATTGATTCTTGTATGTGCCCCGACAGGGGATTGAACCTTCAACCTTGGTGTGTCAGGGTGACCCTCTAACCAACTAAGCTACCCAGCCAGGGCTTCCTCCAGTTTTTTCTGCAGGGATGGGGAGAGACTGCACCTCTTGAGCCTGGGAGTTGGGCAAGGAGAGATTATGGGTTTCCATTGACAGACAAGGACACCAAGGGCCAGATGAACAAGCCTGGTGAAGATTTCTGAGCAAGGGGGTCACTGGCCAGCTCTCCGGTGGCACAGTCCTGGATTCCAGGCTGGCTAAACTGGGCCTTGGCTTTCTGTTGCTATAGCAGGTGGGCACCTTTGGGCACCTAGGCTCCCTATACAACAGGAAAGATGGCTGGGTGGTTGCATTGAAGCACTGAGTGGTCACCAAGGCCCAAGGCAGTGTGGGAAAGACTGGCAAAAGGGCCCTAACCCCTATACCCCTCCCTGACTTCATTGTCTGGTCTCATTGACCATTCCTGCTGCTCACATGGACCAGTTAATTGTTTATCCAGCAAAACTTCTGGGTGGTGCTTTCATAATGTAGTGTAGGGGGACCGAGTTCGGGGGTATAAAGGCTATTGGGATCCAGGGTCCTAGAAAGGGGTGAAGGGAACTGCAGGCCAGGAACTTCTGGCAGGAATGCCCAACTCCTGGAATGCCACCTGTGCCTTGGATACTCTGCACAGGATTTTGAATAAGAGACTCCACATCTTAGGGCCCAGAGGGGCTAGGAGGTCTGTCCGGGGAGTCCAGCTTGCGTGGAGGCGGTTGGTGTCAGTGCCAGAGAGCATCTCCAGCTCTGATGCTCTGCCACTCCGAGGCTGGCCCTTTAAACCCCAGTCCATGATGTCACCGTAGACAGCAAGAGACGGGAGGGGGACTGCAGGCCTGAGGATGGACTGCATTTCCCAGCAGCCTTGGGGGTGCCACACCCCTCCCAGCAGGCACTGGCTTAAGCGGACTATTAACCTGCCCAGTGCTGGTTTCCTAGGGGATTGTAAAGTGTCTGGCAAATCTGTTGAGAGTGGGGTTCCGATGGGGGTGGAATGGCTGGGGCACACATGGAGCAGGCCCGATTTTCGGGCCTGACACAGCTTTGGGCCTCTTTCTGCCCGTGTCCTGTCATCAGTCCGAGCTTCCTGGTGCAAACTCCGGAGTCCTCCTCTCTATTCAGTCTCCCTTCCAGAACCTAGGAGCCCAGCATCATTTGGACCCCATCCCACTATGTTTCAGTCTTGTCCCTGGGTGCCAACAGGAGCTACCCCTTTGGTCTGGCAGCCCCCTTTAAGCGATGCGGAGACTACATCTCCCAGCGGCCCCGGGAACTTCCTGACGCAGCCCCCCCCCTGCCCCCCTGCCCGCGGGGCGGTGCGGGCCTGGAGGGGGGAGGTGACTTGATGTCATCCTGAGCAGCTGGGCGGCGGGTGCCGGTGCGCGCAGAGCCAGGGCTCCCGCGGCGCCGCGCTGCGCCAGGTCGGGTCCCAGGACTTGAGAAGAGGTCCGCGCGCTGCCCAGGCCAGCCCACCGCCCGCCGGCCGAGCACCCGCGCCCCGGCCTGGGGCTGAGCTGAGGGTATGCTCCGGCCCCCCCCTCCCCCCCGGAGCCCGAGAGAGAACCCAGGAGCGCCGCCGCCCAGCAGCCGGAGCAGAACCGCGGTGAAGGAGCTCTGAACAGCTGCCCCCTCCCCACCAGCAGCCCTTGAGGTCTGGGGCCCAAAGTCTGGGCTTCTTAGAAGTGAGTATCCCCCCACCGGGAGGCAGATGAGATCTGGGGGGCGAGGAAGGAGCTGAGGTGGGGGAGGGTGCTGGGTTCTAGAAGGGGGATGGCACAGGGATAGGGCCCCGTTCTTGGGGAAGCCCCTGGTGGCCAGGATTAGTGGGGCAGAAATGGGGCCCCGTTCTATTAGGGGCCAGCAATGAGGAACGGTCCATTCTAGGTAGGGGCTGGCTTGGGGCTAGCCTCTATTCTGAGAGGGGTTGTTTTGGAGCTGGGGCCATTCAGTCTGAGAGAAGGGAGGAACAGGTCTATGGGAAGAGGCTATGCCTCTGTTTAGGGTCTGGGCAGGGGTAGGAGGGAAAGAGGACTTGGGCACTCAGGAGTACTCACCCACAGGCTGTCTTTCCTGGAAAACTGACAGGCTCTCTCTATCTCTTTCTTGCTGACCTCTCTGCCCTGACTTCGTTTTCAAAAGATCCAGGGTGGGAACCCTAACTGGACTCTTCGTGACCCCCAGGAAGGACCTGAGGGCCTGAGCCATCCTCCTCTCTACCCTGCCTGCCCCCCAGGACTGGGCAGTTGCCGGAGGCCCTGGGGGGGGGCCCGGACTGTGGTTGTGCCCCCCCCCTCCCAGGATGGGCCCAAGTTAGTCAGCCAGGCCTCACTCAGCATCCTCCAGGGCCAGCAGGAACCCCGGGGTCTCTGAAGGCTTGACCACTGCCTGGCTGTCATGGAAACAAAGCTGCCCCCTGCGAGTACCCCCACCAGCCCCTCTTCCCCTGGGCTGTCACCTGTGCCCCCGCCCGACAAGGTGGATGGCTTCTCCCGCCGGTCCCTTCGAAGGGCCCGGCCCCGGAGGTCCCATAGTTCCTCTCAGTTTCGTTATCAGAGCACCCAGCAGGAGCTCACTCCACTGCCCCTGCTCAAAGGTGAGCCTGACTGCTGGCTGCCAAGCTGCAGGGAGTAGTCAGCAGCGCTGGCAGCTGCCGCCAGGGAGTTTGGATAGCCCCTTCCAGGACAGGGACGCCGCCATCCCAGCTACCCCCTTCCCCAGCCCTCAGTGCTGACGCATGGCCTGACTGGCCTGTCATCCTTGGAGGTGGGGCATCTGGAGGTGGCGCCACCCTGGGGGGCAGACCAGGGCCAAGGGTGGGGCCCACAGCCTGGGTTCCAGGAGGCCACTAGCAGCCCAGGCGCTGCCAGGGTCCTGGAGCAGGTGTTTAGCATGGCTCCCTGTGGTCACCACACAGTCCTCCCTACCTCTGGGCCACAGGGCCTGACTGGCTGAGCCAGAGGGCACCCTACAGATACTCAGCCCTGACCCTCCTCCCTACCTCTGGCTCTTGGAGTGCCACCTATAAGAGGGAGGCAGTGCTGTCTGGGGCACCTGTGGAAAGCCCGGGCACTCAGGGTCTGTTTCCTTGCTTTAAAGTCAGGCCGTCATGCCCTCTGAGTCTGGGTCAGGAGGAAGACACTAAGCCCTTTTACCCCACAGGAATGGAGGATGGGACAGGAGTCATTTGCTCTCTGACGGAGTGGCGATGGCACCAGAGCATGGGGTCTGGGGCAGGGGAGGCTGCCCTAAGGGTTAGGAGGGTTCGCCCTCCTCAGAGCGGTGGCAGCGGGAGCCCAGGCTCAGCCCCTCCCTCCTTCCAGATGTGCCGGCCTCCGAGCTGCACGAGCTGCTGAGCAGGAAGCTGGCCCAATGTGGGGTCATGTTTGACTTCTTGGACTGTGTGGCCGACCTGAAGGGGAAGGAGGTGAAGCGTGCGGCACTCAACGAGCTGGTGGAGTGCGTGGGGAGCACCCGGGGGGTCCTCATTGAGCCTGTCTACCCAGACATCATCCGTATGGTGAGCACCTGTCACTCAGCCTCTGGGGGAGGGTCTGGGGGGCACAGGAATACTACTGAACTGCCTGGGCGCTCCTGTGCGGAGGAAAAACCCAGTAGCCTCTGCTTGGAAATGAGTCCCACATCCCACCCCCGCCACTCCGTCCTCCAGGTCACCCACTCGGTGGCCTCTGGGCCTGTTCCACCTTACACTTTTGCTCATGCTCTCCTCAGGCCTGGTTGTGCACCCCCGTTCCAGTTCCTGCCCCAAGTCCCTCATCGCAGTGGCCTGGCTCAGGTGCTACTTCTTCCGTGAAGCCTCTCTCAGTGCCCAAGCCAGACATCTCCCTCTTGCTGTAGACCTACTGCTTTCCATGCATCTCCCCCCTGCACCCAGTAGAGGGCAGGGGTGGGCTTGTCCACCCCTGGGTCCCCAGCCCCTGGCCCAGGGCTTCCACTAATGATTGCCAAGGAGTGAATTGCTTGCTCCGGCAGGTACTGAGGTCCTGGCTTCTGCCTTTGAGGGCTCTTCCTTAAAGAACCCTGATTCTGTCCCTCAGATCTCAGTAAATATCTTCCGGACCCTGCCACCCAGTGAGAACCCCGAATTTGACCCTGAAGAAGATGAGCCCAACCTTGAGCCTTCATGGCCACATCTGCAGGTACGAGGGCTGGGAAGGCAGGGATCGAGTTTTAGAAGAGATCGAGGACCGGGGAGAGGGTCTCCTTAGGTCCTGGACTGGTGATGAGGGCCACGGTGCAGGGAGAGTGGGAGTCTGTTCCCGGACTCATGCTTTTATCTTTCCCCTCCTCCAGCTGGTATATGAGTTTTTCCTGCGTTTCTTGGAGAGCCCAGACTTCCAGCCCTCCGTGGCCAAGAGATATGTGGATCAAAAGTTTGTCCTGATGGTGAAGTGGGGAGCCCAGGCCGGGTGGTGCCATGGGGCAGGGGCAGGCTCACTGAGGGGCATGGAGATAGGATGGAAGCATCCTGGGCTTGGTCTTTCTATCCTGACCCTTGACCCTTGGGTCTCATAGCTCCTGGAGCTATTTGATAGCGAGGACCCCCGGGAGCGTGAGTACCTCAAGACCATCCTGCACCGGGTCTATGGCAAGTTCCTGGGGCTCCGGGCCTACATCCGCAAACAGTGCAGCCACATCTTCCTGCGGTAGGTGCCTGCTGCCTGCCCAGCTAGCCCTGCAGAGGAAGAGGGAGAGCGTGGGGGAGAGGACTGGGGCAGAGGCTCCAGGCAGGGGGGCCCTGCGAAGCCCTGGTTTACTGAGTCCTTTCTTGGCAACATATTACATAATATTGATTATTCAAAGCCTGTGAGGTCAGCACAGAAAGGTATTTATCTCCATTTTACAGATAAAGAAATAGAGGCCAAGAGAGATGAAGTGGTTTGCAGGGCCTAGGCCAGTCCAAGGGGGCCTAGGATCTATATCTTTTGACCCTTATTGTGCTCAGCCACAAGGACCTATAGAAAGATTCTTTTTTTTTCCTTTATTGATTTTAGAGAGAGAGGGAGAGAGAGATGGAAACATCGACGAGAGAGAACATTGATTGGCCGCCTCCTGCATGCCCCTCACTGGGGATCGGGCCCACAACCTGGGCATGTGCCCTGACCGGGAATTGAACCAGCGATCTCTTGGTGCATGGGTCGATGCTCAACCACTGAGCCACACTGACTGGACTATAGAAAGATTCTTTGTGCAGATGTGTATTGAGCACCGGTACTTGCATGGCCTTGTAGTTGAGACTGGCTCAGAAGTTAGACAGCCCGTATTTGAGTTTGGTTCAAATATTTGGGTACTCAGGTAAATTATTTAAGCTCTCTCCTAGTTTCCTCATCTCTAAAATAGGAATAATAGCTATATCAGGGACAGTCATCAAGATGGTATGAGGTAATGCCTCCAAGCACTGAGTCCAGTGCCCAGACTGAGGCGAAGACTCTGAAATATTAGCTCTCAGTTATTAGCTACAGAATAGGTGAGACATGATCCCTCTCCTCCAGGAGCTCAGAGTCCCTTAGATCCCCTGTTTATCCACTTTGGGATAAGTTTCTTTTTTATTTATTTTTTTCTTTATTGATTTTAGAGAGGAAGGGAGAGGGAGAGAGAGAGAGAGAGAGATTGATGAGCAAGGACATCGATTGGCTGCTTCCTACATACCCCCACTGGGGATCAGGCCCACAATCTGGGCATGTGCCCTGACCGGGAATCAAACCAGTGACCTCTTGGTTCATGGGTCAATGCTCAACCACTGAGCCACACCAGCTGGGCTGGGATAAGTTTCACTGAACCACTGAGCCTTGATTTCTTCATCTGTATAATGGATCTAGTAAGCCTTGCCTCCTGGGACGATTTCAAGAAGTACATAGCACAGGGTAGATGCTCTAAGTGTTTGTCATTCTTTTGGTTGACTGGCATGAAGAGTGAAGGACACAGGCTAGGTGCCTGCTGACTGGATGGGGAGCAGGTACTGAGGGTTAGAGTCTGAGAGAAGAGATGAGTTGGAATGCTTCATAGAAGAGGTTTGTGCTGGGACCCAGAGTGGTACCGGTGGCTGGGCTGGGAAAGGCGATTCAGAGGTAGGTGTGTATCTCGGTGGGGCCTGGTTTAGGGTACTGGGAAGGGAGCATGGCCGCTGGGTTGGGAGAGAGTTGAAGTAGCATGCAGGTTGAGTGGAAGACAGGATGGCTGGGAGGGGCGGGGCCTGCTCCGATTGCTCTGAGCCCTTCTACATCCTTCTCTTCCTCTCACAGGTTCATCTATGAACTTGAGCACTTCAATGGTGTGGCTGAGCTGCTAGAGATCTTAGGAAGGTGACTCTCCCTGGGCCTTAGCCAGAGCATCAGTATTCCGGGAGGAAGAATTGAGGCCTGGTCATCTAAGCCCTCCTCCTCTCTTCTGTCCCCTCCTCAGTATCATCAATGGCTTTGCGCTACCCCTGAAGACTGAGCACAAGCAATTCCTGGTTCGGGTCCTGATTCCCCTGCACTCCGTTAAGTCGCTGTCTGTCTTTCACGCCCAGGTAAGGCACAGGCCTGGCCCTGCGCAGCAGAGTTGACAGGGCAGCTATCTGGGTCAACCTAACATTCTGGCTTTAGCCACATTAAGTCACCAGTTCATGGGATCCTCTCTCACCTTTTTTTTTTACTGATTCTGTTCCATCTACCTTAGAGATTTCCCACGATCCTCTAAGGCTCCCAGACATCAGCTCTGTGACTCCTTCCCAGCCCTTTCCTCTCGACCTGCCCTAGGCAGGATTACAATCTCCTCCTCCTATATTCCTGTAGATTATGATACAGATTTTTATCATGGAAACTTCTATAAAATTTGTAAGGACTGGTTTACTGAGTGTTTCCTCTGTGAAATGATCATGTCCCCGCACACCAAGCGTGTGTGAGTGAGCATAGACACAGTAAGGAAGCAAACCTCTAGAGTCCTGTCCTGGTCCCCTCCTGACCCCAGTCTTCTTTCTCCGCGACCCTACAGCTGGCATATTGTGTGGTGCAGTTCCTGGAAAAGGATGCCACCTTGACAGAGCATGTGAGTACCTCTGGGGGAAAGGCAAGTCTCCATCCCTGCAGGTCTGACTCCGTTCTGCCTCACCTCCCACAGGTGATCCGGGGACTGCTCAAATACTGGCCAAAAACCTGCACCCAGAAGGAGGTATGAAGAAGGCTCTGACGACCACCAGAGGGAGGTTGGGAGAGCTTAGCTTCTGGAGGGCAGTCAGGTGTGTGTCGGGGCGATGGAACTGCTGCCCTCTATGTCCCTACCCCCAGGTGATGTTTCTGGGGGAGATGGAAGAGATTCTTGATGTCATCGAGCCCTCCCAATTTGTGAAGATCCAGGAGCCCCTCTTCAAGCAGGTGGCTCGCTGTGTGTCCAGCCCCCATTTCCAGGTATGGGGTGGGGATGGGTGAGGGTGGGAGCTGGGGAATGGACTAGGAAGGTTGGCCAGTTGACGTAGCACAGCTCCCTTGGCCCTCTGGACCCTCCTGGGTCTGATAATGGGGAGACACTGGACTCAGGGTCAGAAGCCCTTGGGTCAAGCCTCAGATCAGCCTCCCGCTGGCTGAGGGGCCTTGGGAAAATCACTCTGCCACTCTGAGTGTGATTACGCTTCCTCCTCTGTAACATGGGCCAACAGGGATCTCTTCAGAGGATGAGGATGAGGACTTCGGAGATCATAGTGTAAACATATTTGGTAAACCGAAAAGTGCTCCCCGTGGGATGTTATCATTTCTCTCCTTTTCTTAGTCCCTCCAATTTCATTAGTCCCAATTCAGGGCCCAGCCAGGATTCCCCACATCATGAGGCTGGCTATAACTAGTGTTTTACATATGTGTACAGACTTTCTCCCATCCTTATGAGCCATAACCTGGTGGAAGTCAATTTCTTACAATGATTCTGGTACCTCATTTGATCCTTACAACAGAGCTGGGGTAGTAGCTACTGTCAGCCCCATTTTACAGATGAGGAAACTGAAGCTGAGAGGTTAAATGCCTTGCCCAAAGTGTGGCCATTGTGCAGGGGAGCTAGGATCCAACCCTGAGCACTGGCCTCCAAATCCAGTGTTCTTTCCTCCTCGTCACATCACTTCCTCCAGTGGGTCAGATGAGTCCCGAGGATGGCGTGTGTGGAGGGCAGGGCACCCTGGGTTTGGGGTGGGGGTAGGTACCAGCTCTTGCACATGCAGGGAAGCCACTGCCAGGCACTCACTTTGCCATCTGTTGCCCTAGGTTGCAGAGCGGGCTCTGTATTTCTGGAACAACGAGTATATCCTGAGCCTCATTGAGGACAACTGCCACACTGTGCTACCTGCTGTGTTTGGGACCCTCTACCAAGTCTCCAAGGAGCACTGGAATCAGTGAGCGCCCAGGCCTTGACTTAACCCCCAGAAGCTGTGTCCAGGGCCAGCCAGTCCAGACCCGGGGCTACTCCTAGCTAGAGAGGATGAGGAAAGATATCTCAAGAGGGCCGAGGGTGGTGAAAGGGCAGGAAGAGGGCAGTGCTCGTGGCATAGAGGGCGTAGAGGGCCACATGCTGTGTTTGGGGAACAGGGATGGGCAGGGTACCATAGAAGGAGGCAGGGCCAAACTGAAGTTGCTCTCATCTCCTCACCCCCTCCCTTGACCTGCCAAGAACCATTGTATCTCTGATCTACAATGTGCTCAAGACCTTCATGGAGATGAATGGGAAGCTGTTTGATGAGCTCACAGCCTCCTACAAGCTGGAAAAGCAGCAGTGAGTGTTGGGGGAAGTGGGGTGCTGGGCATAGAGGGAGCGGGGAGAAAAGCAGGAAAGAACCAGCTTCTCACGGTTGGAGGGAGCCTAAGAGAATGACCCCACATCTAATCTGATCAGATATTTAGTCTCTCTCTAAAGCAATGCTGGGCCATTCATGCCCAACTTCCATTGCATTCTCCAGTCATCCTCCCAAGTGCTTCTCCAGGTAGGGAGCTTTGACCCCCTGGAGGTTCCTCCCCTCCAGCCCGGCCTCTCGGAGCCAGGCTCATCATCTGCTCATTGACCAGTCTCTCCTCTCTGATCTCTTCCAGGAGTGGAAGGTTCCCACAGACCCTTTGCAGATGAGGTGGTGGTGAGGGAGGCTAGACTGTAGTCAGGGCCACGGGTCGGGGAGCTGCCTTACCCTCTCTCCCCAGGGAGCAGCAGAAGGCCCAGGAGCGTCAGGAGCTGTGGCAAGGCCTGGAGGAGCTACGGCTACGCCGGTTACAGGGGACCCAGGGGGCCAAAGAGGCTCCCCTCCAGCGCCTTACACCCCAGGTGGCTGCCAGTGGGGGTCAGAGCTAGAGATCCCATAGAAAGGGAGGAGCTAAACCCAGAGCTATCGGTCCCTCTATCCCCTCTTCTGCCCAGGGGCCCAGAGAGACACACACCTACCCCTGGCCTTGCCAGAGTGGGCTTGGAGGGCTTCCTGCCTGGCCCAACGTGGGCAGCTTTCACTGTGGGGAGAGGAGAGGACATGGAGGTCCTGGCAACAGAACTCTCAGGCCCTTGTGGCAGGACTTGACCAGGGCAAGCCTGACCAGGAAGCTGCCATCAGGGATCTCCCTGCCCCGAAAAGCTGGGCTCCAGACTGCAGGCAGGTTCCCAGCCCCTACTCCCAGCCTAGGGCAATGGGACTCAGCTCCTCGTGCACCCCCCTCGTGCCAGCGCGAGGTCCTTCCTCACCCCACCATGGATCCATGGTCTATTTATTCTCCCCTGCTCACCCCCAACACAGACGCTGTCCTGGGCCCAGGGCATCCTCCTTTCCTCCCCTCCCTCACCCTATACTTTCTTGTCCCCTTTTTATTTATTGGGCAGGGGGAGGGGTGAGGGCACAGGAAGAAGAGATTCCCCATGTCCTGGGGCAAGGTGGAGTCAGTTACCATGGTCTGTTCCCCTTCCACTGGCTGGGGGTAGACCTAATAAAGACAGAAACTCGAGGACTGCTTGCTTTATTAAGGGGACAAGGAGGGGAGTGAAATGATGAAAGACTGGTTAGGAGGCCAGGTAGAGGCAGGGAAGAGGCAGAAACTCCCCTTTCACGGAGGTGACAAAGAATTTTAAGAGGGTTGAAGCCACTGTCCCCCTGAAGCGAGGCTCAGGATATACGAGATGTACTCCAACTCAATCTCTGATCCAGGGAAGGAGGTGGGGAAAGGGTGGGCTAGTAGCGTGAAAGGCGACACATGTCACACTGGCAGGCCCTGGCTGTGAAAATCTCCAGCTCCTCCCTCCGGTCTCCCCCACACTGCAACTGCACCTTCACCTGTGGGAGAGGGGGATCCATGTTCCAGTCCCTTTCCTTGGGCCATTTTAGACCTGTCTCCTCTGTCTCCCCCAACCATGGGGCTGGGCCCCCTCACCTTCCTCAGGCCACTGATGGTACAGCATTGAGAGATGGAGGTGATGTTGTGTCGATAGCCACTGGCCACCAGCACGGAGTACCGGGAAGGGAAGGCACTGGACTCGCAGTGGCCCACACAAGCCTGTGCCACATGGGAGCCCTGGCAGGTGCCTTGGCGGTCACTTCGCACTGTCACATTGAAGGCTAGAAGGAGATAGGCAAGTGGTAGACAGGGCCTCTCCAAAGGCTCGCCCAGTTCCTGCTGCCTGTTCCCCCAGTTTGAGTCCATCGAGGGTGCTGCCTGCCCCTCTGTCCGGTCCATCAGCTCTTTGCTCCTACCCAGCTCTCTGTTCCCAGGGTTACTCACGGTGCAAGTGACAGCCTGGGATGGCCGCCTGCCGACCCCAGCCTTCAGCGATCACCAGGAACAGCAGGCAGAAGAGCAGGGCTTGGGGGTGCGCCATGAGCATCTCAAACACAGTGGGTAGATAGATGTCTCTAGACAGGTATGCAGGTGGAAGGGGGAGCTCTTTAAATACTGAATGCTTCCAGGTGAATGAGCCAGGGCTGGGTTGGCCTATCTGCCTGGGGTGAGGCAAGCCTGTGAGTGGGGCTATCGTTTCCCTCTACCTGCCTTTAGTATGTGTGCATCTGTCTGTGTCTCTCTGGATGGGTGTCATTGTGAGCAGCTGTCTCTGGATGTAACCTGTATGTCAGCCCACTGTGGTAATCTCCCCCTGCATTTCTCCACCATCCGGAGCACAAACATCTGCCTGCCTCCATCTGCCCCATCTTGGCCTGCAGGACCCCATCTGCAGTCCCCAAATGCCCCCAGGGCTCCTACCTTAGGGGCTTACCACTTCTAAGGCTCAGGAACTGAGAGGCTTGCTCCTGGTGCCTGCTGCTGGTCTCCAGCCGGTGCTGGCTCTCCGGAATTTTATTTGCCAGCATTTGGGAGCCACGCCTTCTCGGAGATCAGCTTTCAGGCCTACCCGCCTGCCAGCCCTCAGGGCAATCCCACCTGGGAGATCTGCTCTGATCTGAGGTGTGGTCCTGGGAGAGAGGCTTTTGCTCCTTTCTGCACCCTTCTGTCCAAAAGCTGCCAAGGTCCAGGACTGGGGGTAGTGAGGTGTGGAGAAGAGCCCAGGAGCTGGTGGAGTGGCGCAGCTTGTGTGCAGTTGGAAAGAGGGGGCCCAGGACTGGGCTGAGTTGTGACCACCTGGGTTCTCTTGGCTGTGTGGCCTTGGGCAGGACACTCATAGAGGGCCTCACCACCCCAACCCTGAAACTACTGAACTCAGCCCTGCCATCTCCTTAATCTGCTGCAGAGGAAAGGGTCTTGGAGGAGATTTGTAAGGACAAGAGAAATGACAGCATTTTTCCAAGGGTTGTGGCTGGTTGTAGCCATGGGATGGATCTCCAACTGCATGTGAGAGCAACCTGGAGAGACTGACAGCTCGGGTCAAAGCCAAAACTCAAGGCAGCTGCCACTTGCCTTTCCTGTATTATCTAAACAGAAATAAATGACACCAGTGGCAGTCTCCTGAAATGTGCTTGGTGGCAGAGCCAGAGGGAGAGGGGTTCTGCGTCCATTTCAGAGCTTCATTTCCACTGTCAAGTGAAGGGCTTCTCACCCTGGGGGTCAGCTACAGAGAGGGCTTCCCCTCGTCCCTGGAACAACAAGCTGACTCCGGGAAGAGCCTGAAGCTGTTGATCTCAGCAAATCCCATCGGTTCGGCCCAGCTCCAGCTCTGGTTTTACAGGTGAGGCAACTACGGCTCAAAGAAGGAATGTTACTGAAAGTCACATCATAGCTAATGTCAGGGCTGACTGGGAACCCAAATCTGCTCTCCACGAATGGTGCTAAATTACACTTGGGACAAGAATGTGGCAAGTTGGGAAAAGACCCCAGAGTTACCAGTAGCTGCAGGGACTGGGGCGGAAATCCGAAGAAAGCCTGGGGCGACTGGCCTCCCATACCCCAGGGCCAGGGCCTCACCGACCTGCTCAGAAAGGCAGAGCCAGCTGCAGACTGCCAGAGCTGGAAGACACTTGAGAGCTCATCAAATCCTACCCCTTCATTTTCTAGATGAGAAAATAAGAACCAGAGAGAAAGCAGCATTGCCAAGGCTTCGCTGTAAGCCAGTCAGTTAGACGGCGCTCAGGTCTCCAGATTCCAGAGCTGTGCCTCTCGGCAGCTTTGGGAAGCAGGCCATGTTTGTCAGTGCAACTTGTCACTAGTCCTCCAGTCCAGCCACACAGCGGCTTCCCCTTTGACCCTGGTCTCCTCGGGTCCCCCAGCCCTTTCGCAGCAACCCCTTTTCTTCTCCCCACCCAAGGTAAAGGCAGCAAAACAAGGGATCTCCAAGGGATCCAAGCAGTCCAGCCCCAATGTTCCCATTCATCACGGGAACCTTCTAGCACCTGACAGATAAATCAGCTTTTTAAAGACTAGAGGTTGACAAGGGCTCATTACTTCATAGGGTGGTCCATTCTAATATTAAACATCTCTAATAGTTAAAAAGTGACTCATTTGCTCTGGCCAGTCATGCTCAATGGTTAGAGCATTGGGACGCAGACCAATGAGTCGCAGGTTCGATTCCAATCAAGGGCACGTACCTCTGTTGTGTTTCTTCCCAGCCATGGTAGGGTCGTGCGGGAGGTGACCAGTTGATGTGTCCCTCTCACATCTATATTTTTTTCTCTCTCCCTCCCACTCTATCTGTACAAAAATAGAAAAATATACTCAGGTGAGGATTAAAAAAAAAAGTGACTCCTTTGTCCTCAACTAAAATGAGTTTCCCTAAATTTCCAACAATTACTTTGATCCTCTGTGGCCACGCAACACAAATCTAATCTGTCTGTCCCGGATCAGCTCTTGCATTACATGAAGACAGAGCTCAGGTGCCCTGGTCTTCTCCAGGGGCCCTAACCTGGAATGACTTCCAGGTAATACGATAAACTTACCTGCATTACTGTCAAAAGCCAGAGGGATGGGTGGGTGGGAAGCATTTGTCCACTGAGAGGCAACTCTTTGGGGCAACTGGGGAAAGATGGCTTTTGAGGGTCAGCAGGTCTCAAAACAGTGAGTTGGGCAAGACCCCGTTCTCTAATTCCCCACGGGGGCCTATAAAGTTTGAGGGGAGGTGGAGACCCCAGCCACTGAAAGCATTCTGTCAACAAGAACCAGGTAGACCCAGGGGAGGGTTCAGGCATTGCTTCCCTGCATCTTGAGGGAAGAGTTTGCTCTCTCTCACATTCTACTTCACTGAACTCAGTCAATAACTGTTCATAAATAATTTATTGTCATTAAAATCCTAAGTGCTGGAGATGAAAAACCTAAACTGAACCTCAGAGCAGTACAATTCTCAGACTAGAGCATTTTAGTAAGTTCTATACATTTCTTTTTAAATTGAAAATAACAATAATAAAAATAACATTGGAAAGGGGTCAAGGACAGGATAAACCAAAAGGAGGACTCAGGGAGTTTGGGGTCCTCATCCCCAATGACTGGCATGTCATCAGCTGAAGACAGAGTGGGAGGAGTCACTGCGGGAGGAAACTTCCTACTGCTGCATTTGGAAGGCTCACTGGCTGCTCTTTCTGAAGAAATACCGAAACGGGAAGAGAGAGCTGCAAGAAAGAAAGCAGAACAGTTTGAGACTCTAGAGGTCCCCTTCTCTTCTCCCAGGTAACATTAGGGCTCCATTAGCTAGGGTGTTTTTGCTCTGGGGAACCACCAAATGGAAATTCAAAGTCTGGAACAGCATTTGAAAAGGTACCCAAATTAGATTATACTCAGGCAGGGGGGGGGGGGGGGGGGGAGAATTACAATGGGGTGGCTGAGCTCTAGATAGATAAAGGGATTTGCTAACTGTCCTCTACAAAAAAGACTCTGAAGCCACAGTCTAGATTCAGAGGGGAGAATGGAAGCACCCTGGTAACCAAATCATCTAAATGAGCCAAGTTCAATGAGAATAGTCTTTGTCCAAGCAGCAGTTATGGAACCAGGCCCAATGCTGGGCACATTGGGTAGGGTGGGGTGTGTAAAAATGAACAAGATACAGTTTTTATTAAATTCACAGTTAGGGGACTTGTGCTCAATCTCATTTTCAAGATCTATCCTGGATAAAATAGAGATTATGCAGGAAATCTGCTTTCTGTTCTAATTTCCCTGAGAAACCCCATGAGGAAGATTCTGGTGCTATTTCACCTTGGGTCTCAGTCTGATGGCAGGAGAGAAGTCTGTCTTACCTTAAAAACCCAAAGAAGCCACTAGTTCCAAGGTCTGTGGGTCCTTTAGGTGGAGGAGGATTGCTTGGCTGCATTGGTGGGATAATCTCCCCTGCTACACTGCCCTCCCATCTAGAATCTGCAAGGAAGACACTCAGGCAGGGAAAGGTGTTAGTCCGTAGGCTACTTGCATGTGAGCAGAAGGCAGAACACTCTCAGCATGAGCCAAAGGCAGCCTCACACCAGGACTTTTTGAAGCCAGGAGAATTGTTTGTATTGACTTTTCTAATTTCATCTCAGCTCAGTAAGATGCTATCGTTACCTTGGAGTATTTTCAAAGTCAGGCCTCTGATATTTTCACACTATTCAAGTCCCAGCCACCCACCACGGCTGGTGTCTTCACATGGAATGACAACTTGTTGAAGAACTCACTTGTTTCTATCCTGCACCCATGATAACTGCAGTCCATAATGAGTCCCCATGCTGGGTAAAAGCTCAGCAAGTTAGAAGGGCAACACTTCGACATGTATTTCCTGCCTTGCTGAGCATCCGCTACACCTTTACTATTAATACTAATGCCCGGAAGGGAAGAGAAAAGACAGCTTCTCAGAGATTGTTTTTCAAAAAGGCAAAAAAGTGAAACAAAGCCCTTCCTACATTTCTGTAAAACTTATCACCCTATGTGGAAATGTTTTGAAGTATCAGTTTCGCTATCAAAAGCATGGGAAGGACAAGCATTGCCTCCCTTCACTTCTCTTGGAAGCTGGCTTCTATTACTCAAGGGCAGGCCCCCAGACTGGAGGGGGCCATCAGGCATCTCCATGGGAGCATATCACCCACCAAGCGTGCCCAGACTCAGAGCTCTGTGCTGCTCCACTCATCAGAAAACTAAAGGAGACAGGACGATTATTGAAGGAGAGTAAACGCATTTCCCAGAACCTACCCTGTTCCTGGACATCACTGACACCAAATGCTGGAGTCTCCTGACATTCCTGCTGAGTTTTTCTTTCCCTGTTCTGATAAAAAGAGGACCAAGAAAAAAGTTTGAACTTTATTCCTATACAGTTTGGGGGTCCAAATGTTATTTGCTGGTGAATGATTTCACATCAGCGCTGGGGCCTGGCTTTTGACTGCCTAGGCTGGTTCTGTATTTCCTTCAATGTGACTGTCCTTTTCCCATTTCAGCTTCCTAACTACTGTCTTTGTAAAGCCGAGAAGAGACCAAGCTGGGTTTAATTTATCATTCCATATTACTGAGTGCCAACTATTAATAAGGACAGAATATTGAGGTTTCAGAACTCAGAACCTTAACTTTACTGTGGAGAAATGTATAATCTATGTGGTAAAACTGACATGTAGACTAAGTATTATAAGACAGTGTGATGAGATTCTATATAGAATGCTGTGGTTGATGGGGAGGACGTGAATAGAGTAGGTGGTGGTTACTCAAGGAAGACTTCACAGGGGAAGTGCTATTTGAATGGAGCCTTGATGAATGAGTGGCATTTTTGTCATAATGGGGGTTAATGGAGGTGAGGAGATGGTCAGAGAGAGCAGGCCATTCCAGACAGGGACATGATGTACAAAGACACAATGCCATTAATGAGTAAATATGATTAGCATGGCTAGAACTAGGGTAGGGGAAACGACCACAGCATAAGGAATCAGCACACTATGATGCGATCTCATGATTTCTCCTTGTGCTATTCCTTTCGAGTTTCCTCTGACATCCCACAACCTGGTTCCAAGTCCACATTTCCAGTAGACACCTGGACAGTCAGAAACATGGTTCATATATTTTCTTTGGGAATCTCTACCAACTGACCACTCCCCTCACCTGGGCAGAACCTGAGGGCCCGACTACCAAGCAGTGCTGGGGAGTTCCTTGAGCCATTGTGCTGGTAAAGAATTCTACAGCACGGGGTTGTAAACTATCAAGGTAGGTCTGGGAGGCAGAAGCATGGCAAGCCCCTAGGGAAGTTAGGATATGCCCCCATCCTAAGCATAAGCTGATATTTCTGATATGAGCCTTTCCACAAACCATCAAATTCTAGACCACATAGACAGCCACTTAAGTCATATTCCTATAAAAGTGAAAGGGAACTCTTGGAAGGAGGACCATCTTTGACCTCTTCTAGACAGGGTAGATAGGGAATTCAGAGGGCCTAGCTCTAATTTCTAGCTTGAGGAGATGATTCTTACAAATGTAATGAAATTATGGTTTGGGGCTTAAATCCTGATGCATGGACCCTAATGAAAGCATCTAGTAACTTGCTAGCAGGAACCAGAAGGGCAAAGGCGCTAGGGCAGAGATAGAGCCTACTTCTGAACCAGGGGAGAGTCCCCTCACAGGATAATTTAGCTTTTCTGTTCTCCAGAAATCTTGAGAAACGTGGGTCCTTTTAGGCAAATGTCAAAGGGAAAAAACATTATAGTCTGAAATAAGACTGAGGGTATCATCTGGGACATCCAGTGGGACGCAATACCCTGAAAACCAAACACAAGACTGTCTTCGGTATGTTCAGGGCCAGATTTGCTTAGAAGTGCAATTCAAGCAGAGGTGGGGAAAAAAGGCTACACGTACATGGCAACGTGTTTCACCTCTGGATCATTCTTCTGTTCTCTCCTATATTTTATCCCTCCAACCTCTGGATCTCTAGGTCTGGGACCTGGGGTAACAAAGGGAATAAATGGGTTTGCCCTTCCTTACCATTCTTCCCAAAACACCTTCTATGGAACAGAGGCCTTATTCAGATATGTGCTATATTCTTCTAAGCTTTCCTCACATAAGCTCTCAATATGTTCAGACATGCATAATCCACACTGTGATCCTACACCCTAACTTCCCCCAAAGGGGAGAAAAAATATTAAGCATTGGACCATAGGAGCAAATTCAATTGTTTCCAGTTCAAGTGACTTACACTGAGAGTCACTGTGATCACTTTAATTTAGGAGAAATCCTCTCTCTGGGAAAAGGGTCTACAACGGAGACCGCCTTTGGGCTTTGAGTCAAAATCAATAAACACGTTCCCGTTTTTTTTTTCTCTTCTCAGTTTTTTCTAAACTCAGTATCAGATTGAAAAGGTAATTATGTTGAATAAGAAACTGTGGGTACTGTTTTTGAGGGAGATGATTTGTCAAACTAAGAATAGGAACGTACAAAGGGTAAGAGTGAAGGAAATGTTCCTTTAACAGTAATTATCTTGGTTGTATAAAGCATCTTTGTTCTCCAGAGCTTCATGTATTTCTGTTGTACTTTTTTAGTTCTTCCCTCTCTAAAGGATGAGAGGATCGAAGAGGGCAACCATCTGCCTAAAATCACTCCATGGGCCAGTTGGCCATGGCATAAGAAGGCCCTATAGCCCACAAGGGAAGAAGTGTGAGTCCCAAAGAGTTCACTCTTCCTCCAACTAAATGATAAGCTCCTAGAAATAAACCATATTTTACATGTTTGGGTACACCCCTGCACCTAACACAGTACCTTGCAAACAGGGGACAGAATAATAATTTAGGAATGAAAATCATTTCACTTCTCTACTTAAAGGTGTTTTAGGGAATTCCTGTAATATTGAAGTTAGCCATAAGGCCTTTCATGATCCAGCCAGTGCTGACCTCTCAAGTCACATTTCCGAGCACTGTGCTTACTCCAAGCCCCAAGGGCACCGGCTTGCAGTCACTGAAAACACTGTACTTTCTCCTCTTCGCCTTAATTCTTTGAGCTGCTCTGAGCTACTACAGGAACCCTCCTCACATCCACCTAGTCTGGGTGAGGTTCTCCTCTGTGGTCCCTTTGTACCCTGTGCTTCCTTTATTCCTGCACATGGCACATCTATCAGTAATTGTCTGCCTAGCTTTACAGTGTTGGCGTTTATAGGAGAGATTGTGATATCCCTATTACCTGGCACACAGTAGATTTAGTTAAAAGTTTGTTGAATGAATGCATATATAAATGTTTGCTCACTAACTGATCATATTATGGGTCCTGGGAAGGTGAGGGAGGTGAGGTAAGAGTGTTTGGATACTTAAAGTTAGAGTTACTTTGGCCCTGGCCGGTTTGGCTCAGCGGTTGGAGCGTCGGCCTGCGGTACAGAGACCCGGGTTCGGTTCCCGCTAAGGGCACATACCTCGGTTGCAGTTTGTCCCCGGCCCTGGCTGGTCGTGAGGGTGGCAGCCACTTGATGTGTCCCTTCACATCGATGTTTCTCTCTCTCTCTTCCTCTCTCTCCCTCCCGCTCTATCTGAACAAAAAATGGAAAAATGTCCTCGGGTGAGGATAAAAAAAAAAAAAAGTTAAGAGTTACTTTGGAGAGAGAGAGTAAGAAAAAGGCATAAATAACACTATTTCAAGAGAGAAGAAAAAGAAAGAGAGAACTATTTTAGAAACTACTACGGAAAAGAAGCTCTGAAATGGAGGAGTAGCAGAAATATGAATATCTAAATGGGGAACAGACCTCACAAATGAAATCAAATACTATGGGGGCCAGCCCATCACGGGTAGAAGTGTGAGTCCCAAAGAGTTCACTCTTCCTCCAACTAAATGATAAGCTCCTAGAAATAAACCATATTTTACATGTTTGGGTACACCCCTGCACCTAACACAGAACATTAAGTTTTCTCTTACCAGTGTACTGTGCTTCTATATGCCTACCTTGTCTGTAAAAACTAGATGTTCCTAGACCCAAATCCCAACGTAGATGAAGGCAAAAAGGTTTCTAAGGAGAAAATTCTATATTGGATCCTACCTCAATTCAGCACACCTTTTTTCTTATTTCAACTGCAAGTACAATAAGCAGCTTTTTAAGCTGAGAAGAGAAAAAAAATCTTAACAAAATAATTCATCAATGTGTACAGTATCAAGCAGCTACTTTTGGGACAGGTTGTGGCAAGAATAGAATGGTTGAATGTTGTTTCGCAGATGGTGAAACCTGAGAATGAGTTCAGTCAATTCAGTCTGCACTAAGTACCAAGATGTGCTGGTAACAGGAATCCTGACTTGCTTATAACAGAGCAGGAACAGTCAAGAGCCTCGAAGCCTCCATTGTGGTGCTTACCCTCCTGGTTTCCAAAAGGAGCTTCTTTTTGCTGGGACCTTGGCTGGAAGTCCTCATCCTGGCCCTGAGGTAGGGGGAAAAAAGCCCAGGAAATGTTATTGGCAGCAGCATCACCACATTCAAGCAAACGTGGCTCAAATGAATATTTCAGCAGGTTGGCTATTTTTATACCTCTCCTGGCCTGCAGAATAAATTGTGTGGCCAAATTTTCTTTGGGTGCTTTAATTCACAGTAGAATCCCAATTTAAGACTTTTAGGGATCTAGTGGTTGAGAAAAGGAAAGTGGATTGATACCAAGAATCAGATTTTAAAATACTTGACCATGCATCAAAACCCTGAGAAATCCCTGGCCGGTTTTGCTCAGTGGTTAGAGCATTGGTCCACAGACTAAAGGGTCTTGGGTTTGATTCTTGGTCAAGAGTACATACCTGGCCCTGGCCGGTTTGGCTTAGCGGTTAGAGTGTCGGCCTGCAGTCCGGAGGGACCCGGGTTCGGTTCCCGCTAAGGGCATATACCTTGGTTACAGTTTGTCCCCGGCCCTGGTTGGGTCGTGTGGGTGGCGACCACTTAATGTGTCCCTTTCATGTCGATGTTTCTCTCTCTTCCTCTCTCTCCATCTGAACAAAAAATGGAAAAATGTCCTTGGGTGAGGATTTAAAAATACCTGGGTTGCAGGTTTGATTCCTGGCCCAATCAGGGTTGTTCAGGAGGTAACCAATCAATGTGTCTCTCTCACATCAATGTTTCTCTCTCTCTCACCCTCCCTTCCTTCTACTCTAACAAATCAATGGAAAAATATCCTCAGGTGAGGATTCACACACACACACACACAGAGAAAGGGAAGACGTGAAGCTTCATCAGCGAAGTTCCATACTTCTAAGTTCCCTCTCTAAAGGATGAGAGGATCCTGGCTGGGAAAAGAGTTTCCTAACTCTTCTCCACTATGTGCATTGAGAGGGTGTAGGAGTCAGCTTCCTCATGGTCTACTGTATATCTTGGGGTCCACACAATCCCAGGAAGAAAGCAGCTGCATTCTGTGAACCTCGGCAGAAAGCACTTTGGGCTAGGAAGCAAACCACACTTTGGATTATTCCAGCAGCCCTCTCTGGGTGCTAATAAGAATGACTGAATTGTTTTACTGACTCATTCTGTCCTTGACAGAGAATCAGAAGAAAATAAGCCCGGTCACTGTGGCTCAGTGGATTGAGCATCATCTCATGGACTGAGATGTTCTGGTTTGATTCCTGGTCAGGGCACATGCTCAGATCGCAGGCTCAATCCCCAGCGGGTAGCGTGAAGGAGGCAGCCAATCCAGTATCTCTCTCACAATGATGTTTCTATATGTCTCTAAAAAAAAATCAATAAAAACATATTTTTAAAAAAGAAGAAAATAAGTAGCCTTCTCAATAGCAACTTCAACATATTAGGGATGTGCTCAATATTCCACCTAATATCGCAGCACCTCACCCAATAATTGATACATATCCTCTTGCAGACATTTATGTTTTAGACTGGACTATCTCAAGGTAGATTTTACTGCTCACTAGGTGAAAACAGAATTACATTTTATTTGTTCTATGTTCTTATATAATATCCTGGGAAATCTTGTGCCTTCTGGCTGCATTTTCTGGTAGTACGGCCATAGTAAATTCCCAATGAATATGTGTTGGATGCAACTGTATAGATCTGATTGCATTTCTTCTCAACCTTTGTCTTAATAAACAGAAGAATCCTACTTTGCTGAGGAAGGGACTGTGTTCAAATTACACTGCAAATATCAACTTGCTTCCTTCCCTTAGTCCACCCACTGGAATAGGCAGATACCAATGAAGCTCTGAGAGAGAAAGTGACTTGCTCAAAGACAAGATCAACCAGCAGCAACAGCTGGCAAGGCCTAACTAGGATGCAGGATTTTGAGTTTCTCATAACACCACTGACCTGTCCAGCCTTGGCCTGCTGGGGGAGCTGGATACTTCCATGCGTTTTCGTTTCTTCCTCATGGCTCCAGCTGCTTTCCTTTCAGCTAGGACCTTCAGAGAGGAACCAGACACCTGTGACTTCTCCTTTTCCAGAGCTGCCCACAGTTCATGAGGGCACATCTTTAAGTTGCCAAAGGGAACTTTGCCAGCTTTGCAAGTAAGGGTAGACATTCTGTCAGAGACAGTCTTAGAAATTTAGCCAAGGGGGAAAAGATGGTCTCGTGTATCCAATTCTGATTGGACCTGACGAGCAACAAAGGAAAAAAGTAACAAGAAGAGACTAGAGCAGGATTTTTTGGACAACATGAAGCAATAAAGGCAATTTTCACTTTATATACAAAAGGAAAACTTACCAATCCAAGAGGACTGTCATTTTTTGGTTTCCCTACAACAGGAAATTAAAATGTCATCATGGATTGAGACAATGTTCCACCTGGATTCCTGGCTACCATTTACTTCTCAGAACTGGTCCTACTCAAAATCGCTGTGTGTGCCCTTTCCCCTTCTGCCTGGTACCACTTATCCTAGAAATACAGTCTTCAAAAAGCTCTTCCTCCCCTATTTTAGAACTATTATCTACAAGCTGAAAATTCAGAGTTTGAGTCACACTATATTCTAACAATATACCACTTAAAAGGGGTGTCCCTACTATGAAACAAAAGATGGAACTTCTGATATCAGTGACAAATTAATTGGGGAGATATTTTAAGGCAAGGCCTCTACACTCTTTTCCAAATCAAACTAGCAGGTGTCTACTTGTCCCTCTATTAGTAAAAATAGTGATGGCCCTTAGAGGTTAAAAATTGGGCGATACCACTAAAGTGAAAGTCACTGAATACTCTAAAATGGAAGGAAGTATTCATATAATAGGTCTCTTTCATTGAGTGATTAGTGATTTGTACTTACTTTCCATCTCCCACTATTTATATATTTAATGGTTTTAATAACTTAATGAGATAAGTACTATTATTATTCTTCATTTCACAAAGGAGTCACAGAAATTTATCTAAAAATGAATTTAATAAACATATCCTCTAGTAAAAACGTTTTTTTTTTTTTTATTAATTTATCTAAGGTCACACAAATTAAGTGACAGAGCCACCAGGATTTGAACCAGGCAGTCTGGCTTGGAGCACATGCTCTTGACCTCTACACTGTGTGGTTTTGGGGCCCAGTCCGGCTGACCATTTTGCCATATTCACCTTACACTGCTAATCCATGGAAGTTCAATCTTCCCCCTTTTTCTTCTCCAACACCCACACTTCCACCATTCTACTTACCAGGTGACAGGCTGTCATGAAACCACTTCATCTCCACATACAGAGTCAAAACAAATGGATAGGGGACCAAGACGATTTCCCCACGTTTGAATTTCAAGTGGGACACTCTCTCCCATTTGCTTTTATCTGGGAAATAATGCTAAGGAGTGAGGAAAAAAGTCAATATGAATCCTTAAGTCCTGCTGGTGTGGCTCAGTGGTTGAGCATCGACTCGTGTGCTAAGAGGTTACTAGTTCAATTCCCTGTCAGGACACATGCTCGGGTCGTGGGCCTGATTCCCAGTGGGGTGCATGCAGGAGGCAGCCAATCAATGTTCTCTCTCATCAATGTTTCTATCTCTCTCTCTTTCCTTTCTTCTCTCTAAAATCAATAAAGGAAAACAAAATTTAAAAAAAATGAATCCTTGAATACTATTTTAGAAATAAGACTCTTTCTCCTTTCCCTGACCTACCCTCCAAATTGCCTATGGGTTTGTTGCTTCCATTTGAATCTATAATCTGAGATGTAGCTCATTCCCATCCAGAAATGAAAGGATACAGGGAAATACAATGAAGTGTTCTGTAGCAAAAGGCTGCAGGTTGTCCAAATTTCCCAAGACTACACGAATAGAATCCTGAAAAAAAATTTGAAATGACTTGAATCCTGTCTAGTCTCAGCCTATCTTTCCATTTATACTTGTCCCTACTCTTCACATACCCCATATTCTATTAAAGCTGAACTATCTGCTGTTCCCTGAATATACTTTCTGAATCTCCATTTCTATACTCTGACATAATCTGTTCCCTCTGCTGAAATGCCCTTTCCACACACCTGCTTAAGTCCAAATCCTACTTACCTTTAAGCTACAGTTCAAAGCCATCTCCAAAAAATTTCCTGATTCTCCAAGTTGTAATTAATGGTTAGCCTCAAACTCCACAGTAATTAGCCTTGGGCCTTTACTATATTCCATGTATACATGTTTTATTTTCCTTACTGAGAAATCTCCTTGAGGTAGACTATATACCTGATTTATTTTGGTATCCGTTCTCTGGTGTCTCCATAGTGGACAATGCAAAACAAGCCTCCAGTATACATATATTGAATGAATGAATCAAGCTGGTATTTACTGATAGACAGTTATATTGACTTTGCTTAAGTCAAACCTTTTCTTCTACTCTTTAAAACATTTTAATTGATTCATCTCTAATTAACCTATGCTTATTACTAATTAAACAATTTGGTATCATATAAAGACTACTAGATTTCTATAGGGAAAAAGATCAGAATTTCAGTCCCAGCTTTGTCATTTCATCTCTCTAAGCCTCATTTTACTCATATTGGGGCTCACAGAAGGCAGAAATTGTGTCTTGTTTATCTCTGTATTCTCTGTACTAAGCATAGTATCTAGCTTATAATTTTTTTTTATCCTCACCCGAGAACATTTTTCCATTTTTTGTTCAGATAGAGTGGGGGAGAGAGAGGAACAGAGAGAGAGAGAGAAACATCGACATGAAAGGGACACATTGAGCCCTGGAAAGTTTGGCTCAGCGGTTAGAGCGTCGGCCTGCAGTCCTGAGAGACCCAGGATCGGTTCCCACTAAGGGCATGTACCTCGGTTGCAGTTCGTTCCCGGCCCTGGTCGGTCGTGAGGGTGGCAGCCACTCGATGTGTTCCTTTCACGTCGATGTTTCTCTTTCTCTCTCTCTCTGTTCCTCTCTCTCCCTCCCACTCTACCTGAGCAAAGAATGGGAAAATGTCCTCGGGTGAGGATAAAAAAAAAAAAAAAAAAAGAAAGGGACACATTGAGTGGCTGCCACCTGCACAACCAACCAGGGCCAGGGACAAACTGCAACCAAGATATATGCCCTTAGTGGGAACCGAACCCAGGTCTCTCTGGACCACAGGCCGACGCCCTAACCGCTGAGCCAAACCGGCCAGGGCCAGCTTATAATTTTTTAAAGTAATTTTTATTTAGCCCTGGCCAGTTTGGCTTAGCGGTTGGAGGGTCGGCCTGCAGACCAGAGAGTCCCAGGTTTGGTTCCCGCTAGGGGCATATACAAAATAATAATAACAATAATAATTTTTCTTTATTGATTTTAGAGAGAAAGGGAGAGGGGGAGAGAGAGAGAGAGAGATTGGTGAGCAAGGACATCGATTGGCTGCCTCCTACATACCCCTCACTGGGGATCAGGCCCACAACCTGGGCATGTGCCCTGACTGGGAATCAAACCAGTGACCTCTTGGTTCATGGGTCAACGCTCAACCACTGAGCTATATCAGCCGAGCTAGCTTATAATTTTAATACCTAATATTTATTGAGTAATCACTCTGGTATGTAGTATTGTTTTGATACATAATAATTAATTTAACACTCATAAAAACAGTATGAGAGAGACACTTCTATTATCCCCATTTTACAGATGAGGAAACTGAGACAAAGAGAGAGAAAATACTTATTCAAGGTTACATAGCTAGTAATGTGGAGCCAAGATATGAACCCAGGCAGTGGGGTTCCAGAGCTTACACTCTTAATAATTAGGCTATACAGCCTATCAATAAATGTTTTCTAAATGAATGATAACATCTACCTCAAAACTAATGAGAGCAAGAGAAAGAGAACATATGAAAAGCACTTTGAAAACTTTAATATGATTATAAATCTATATAAATGCTCTCTAGCTACCATTTATTGAGCTACTAGGTGGCAGGCATTGCACACATCTATTTCTAATCCTTACCACAATCTTAAAAACAGGCATTATTTATCAACTTCATTGTCAGGTAAGGATAAAAACTCAGAGAAGGTAGGTTACTTGCCCAAAGTCATACTGTGAAGGCAGAACTGAATTCAAATAAAAGTTTAAAAGGCTCTAAAGTCTATGCTCTCTCTATTTACTATGCTGCCTTGAGCTCTTCTCTGTCCTAATTAACTGGAGCAAAATGAAATAAATTCTGCTCTACTCACAATTAAAACAAGCAAAAAACTGTCATGGTCCTATATTGTTATTTATAATGATGTCTCTGAGGTCCTATAAGATCCTAATGTATTGTTCAACACTTAGCCAAAGAGTCACAAGTATCTTTAGGGCTATGACTCAAATGTCTAGTTTCATAGAGTTTTATGTTTATGTATTTAATTATGTTAGAATTCTTTGAAATGTGGCAGCATATGTCTTCACAAACCACAATAGTCATAAATCACTGAGTTGTGAAGTTAGAAGAGAATAAACTACTTTAAAATACTCAGTTTATCAATAAGGCAATCAAGACCCAGAAATGTAAATGGTTTGCTGAGGGTCACACAGCTAATTAGTGGCTCAGCCAGGACTGGAATCCAGGGCCAGTCTCCAGAACTCTAACCCCCTGCCTAGTGCTTTTACCAGTTTACCAAAATGTCCACCTGCTCAGTCTTCTTCCTGTGGGAAAATCTAAAGTTAGAGGAGCTGGGTAGAAAAGGAATGAAAATGGAAGTGGGAATAAAGCAATGGCAAATGTTTTCAATTAAAATGAAGACACAGCAGCCTTGTCTCTGTATTTACAGTTGAGTTTCCTGAACGTCAAATACCAGGCAGTGGTTGGGATAGTGAGGTTTTCCAGGGCCTTGGAAGGCGGCAGTCCTTCCAGTTCTCTGGAAGCTTTCTCTATGCCAGTTGCCACAAAAGAGAGCTGCCCGTGGCTGGGAACTCTGGTAGAAACAAAATCACTCAGCCTCAAAGGTGCTGACATTTCAACTAGAAAAACTGAGAAAGGACACCGGTTTTAATTTCCCTGGAAAAACAGTAAAATTGCTTTGCAGAGGAAATGTGGCAGGGAGAAGCCAAGTAATTAAGTGGAGGTTGTGACTCAGTTGGTAAGAAAGAATTACAATCTGGATATGGACACATCCTCAGCTTAAAGAATAACCTTCCCAGAAGTTGTCAGCTTCTTTCCCTACCTCCAGCTCCTGGACGATGACTTCCTTATTTTCTATGTCTTCCCCTCTAGAAGGTAAATAAACAAGAGATAAGCCAAGAAGGAAAGCTCTATAGACAGTAGAGCTAAAGAAACATGACTAAAGAACAATTGTGTGCTGACCCAGTGCTCATGGGAGGAAGTGATCACCTAGTGGTGTGGTCTGAGAATTGGTACAAGGCATATAATAAAATATCTCCTCCACTAACTTGCCAAGACTTGACATTCCCACTGTGAAAGTTACTAATTTGTTAGATCATTTGTACTCAAATGTAGCCTGATGACCCCTAGGGGTCCTCCTCAAGACACTTTCAAGGGGTCTCCAAGGGCAAACATTATTTTCATAATAATACTAACATGTTATTTGCCTTTTTCACTGTGTTAACATTTGTAATCATTAGTGCAAAAACAAACGGTGAGCAAAACTGCTGGTGTCTTAGCATAAACTAAGTCGCTTGCACTAAACCATACTAGCAGTTGTGGTAATCATTATTGCCACACGGGAAAAAATCCAGTTTCATTTAATATCCTTGAGGAAGCAGTACAAATGTAATAATTTTATAAAGTCTCAACCCTTGAATACATGTCTTTTTTTTTTAAATCCTCAACTGAGGATATTTTTCCACTTATCTTCAGATAGAGTGGGAGGGAGGAAGGAAGAGAGAGAGACAAACATTGATGTGAGAGAGACACATCCATTGGTTGCCTCCCACACGATTCCGACCAGAGCTGGGGACTGAACTGAAACCAAGGTACGTGCCCTGACTGGAATCGAACCCGTGACTCTTCGGTCTGCGGGCTGATGCTCGAACCACTGAGCCAAACCGGCCAGGGCAAATACATGTTTTTAAAAAAATATTAATACTTGTATCACTATATATAAAGTGGGAAGCATGCCTAAAGCACTTCTGCTTACAGAAATATCAGAACTGTCTGGAGGAAAAGCACTTGTGCAATTGAGTTGCAAACTGAACTAGCTGCTCTTTTCATGGAACAGTATTTTACTTGAACGCTAAGTTGACACACAAACTATGGTTGTTATTCAGACTTGATAATGTGACATTTTCTCAAAAATGAACAGTTAGCTTATCAATTCAAGTATTTGTTGTCAAATGACAACTAATAGTACTCGTCGTCAATGATAAATTTGGGGGTTTCAAGCAGAAATTTGCACTTTAGGAAAGTTCTGTCCACCACTGTGAGGTTGGCAGGTTCCAAATACTTAAAACATTTTTCTGATGAGATTGGTAGGACATTAGCAAATATGCGTTTTTGATATTGTACAGGCATACCTTGTTTCATTGTGCTTTGCATTATTGTGCTTCACAGATGTTGCCTTTTTATTATTATTTTTTAAATGTTTGGGTTTTTTTTTGACTCCTCACCTGAGGACATTTTTGCATTTAGCTTCAGATAGAGCAGGAGGGAGAAGGGGGGAAGAGAGAGAGAGAGAGAGAGAGATCGTCTGGTTGCCACACACACAACCCCAACTGGGGCCAAGGACAAACTGCAACCAATGTATGTGACCTTAGTGGGAACTGACTCTGGTCCATGGGCCAATGCTCTAACCACTGAGCCAAACTGGCCAGGGCTTAAAATATGTTTTTATTGATTTTTTAGAGAGAGAGAGGAAGGGAGAGAGATAGAAACATCGATGTGAAAGAGATACATTGATCGGCTGCCTCCTGCACGCCCCACACTGGGGATCAAGCCCAACACCTGGCCATGTGCCCTGATCGGGAATCAAACTGGGACCTCTCAGTCCATGGGACAATGCTCAATCCACTGAGCCACACTGGCTGGCCAGACGTTGTCTTTTTTAAAAGTTCAAGGCAAAACTCTCCACCAGCAAAAAGACTATGGCTTGCTCTATTGCCGGGTCTGGAACCAAACCTGCAATATCTCACAGGTATGCTTGTATAATGAAATGTGCTGACATATATATGATCTGCTAAAGTCAGTGAACCAATGTTTTCCAAATGACCAATGAAACACATTATGTTACAAAATCATTCTAGGTGAAAGATTCATTCAAAGAACAAGAATGACCAATGAATTTTAATGTAGCAGAGTTCAAAAAATCCATTGATATAATTTCAGATTCCACATTGCAGCTAACCTTTAAAAAACTACCACAGCAAAAAAAAAAAAGCCTTGACCAGGTAGCTCAGTTGGTTAGAGCATTGTCCCAATATGCCAAGGTTTCAGGTTTGATCCCCAGTTAGGGCACATATAAGAAGAAACCAATGAATGCATCAGTACGTGGAACAATAAATCAATGTTTTCTCTCTCTCTCTCTTTCTAAAATCAATTTAAGAATTAATGTTTCAAAACTGTGGTAAAATATAATGTAAAATTTGCCACTTTAACCATTTTTGAGTATATGATTCAGTAATATTAATTACATTTACAACCCATGGGGTGCAACCATGACCACTATTTCCAAAGCTTATCTCCCCCAATAGAAATATTATACTCATTAAGCAGTAACTCCCAATTCTCCCCTCCATCCAGCCCTTGATGATCTCTAATTTACTTTTGTCTCTCTGACTCTTCCTATTCTAACATTTCACATAAGTAGAATCATACAATATTTGTCCTTTTGTTACTGGTTTATTCCTTAGAATGTTTCAAAGTCCATCCATGTTGTACATGTATCTGAACTTCATTCCTTTTGCAATTTGTTTTTATGGCTGAATAAATTCCATTGTATATATAACACACATATAGCCACATTTTACTTATCCATTTACCTACTGATGGACACTTGGGCTGTTTCTACCTTCTGGCTATTGTGAGTAATGCTGTTATGAACATTGTTGTACAAGCATCTGTTTGAGTCCATTTTCAGTTCTTTTGGGCATATACCTAGAAGTAAAATTGCTGGGTCACATGGTAATTCTATGTTTAACTTTTTGAGGAACCATCGGTTTTCCATAGTGGTTACACCATTTTACTTCCATTAGCAATATAAGAGGATTTCAATTTCTCCACATCCTTGTCAACAACTATTATTTTCCAAAAAAAAGTTATAGCCCTGGCCAGTGTAGCTCTGTTGGTTGAGCGCCATCCCATGTACTGAAAGGTCACCAGTTTGATTCCCAGTCAGGGTACATACCCAGGTTTTGGGTTTGATCCTTGGTTGGAGTGCATAAAGGAGGCAACCGATCAATGTTTCTCTCCCTCTCACTCTAAAATCAATAAAAACACATTTTTAAAAACTCATAGCCATCCTAGGAAATATGAAGTGATACCTCATTGTGAAGTGGTTTTGATTTGCATTTCCCTTGAGACTAATGATATTAGAAATCTTTTCATGTGCTTACTGGCCACTTTATCTTCTCTGGAGAAATATCTATTCAAGTCCTCTGTTCTTTTTTAAATTGAGTTGTGTATATTTTTGTTATTGAGTTGTAATTCTTTATATAATCTGTATATATGCTTTTTTTCTGGATTTTAAAGAGGGAGGAAAGGAGAAGGGGGGGGGAGACACACACATTGACATGAGAGAGATACATCCATCAGTTGCCTCCTGTACGTGCCCCAATCAGGGCTCAAACCTGACCTAGGTATGTGCCTTGACTGGGAATCAAACCCATGACCTTCTAGTGCATGGAATGATGCTCCAACCAACTGAGCCACACCAATCAGGGCCTGGTAATATGAGTTGCAAATATTTTCTCCCATCTGTGGGTTGCCTTTTCACTCTGTTGATAGTGTTCTTTGGTGCAAAATTTAAAAATGTTTAATGACTAATTTATCTGATTTTTGTTGTTGCTTATACCTTTGGTGTTGTATTTAATAAACCACTGTCAAATCCAAAGTCACGAAGATTTGCTCCTATGTTTTCTTCTAAGAGTTTTATAGCTTTAGTTCTTAAATTTAGGTCTTTGATCCACTGTTAGTTAACTTTTGTATATTGGGTAAAATAAAGGTATAACTTCATTTTTTTGCATGTGGATATCAAGTCTTCTCAGACCATTTGTTAAAAGAGACTATTCTTTCCTCATTAAATGGTCCTAGCCTTCTATTAGAAAATAAATTGACCACTGATATAAAAATTTATTTCTTGGCTCTCAATTAAATTCTTTTGGTATATATATATATATATATATATATATATATATATATATATATATATCTGTCCCTATGCCAGTACTACTTTTTTTTATTATTATTACTTGTAGCTCTGTATTAAGTTTTTAAACTGAGAAGTGGAAGTCCTCCAACTTTGTTCTTTTTCAGATTGTTTTCGACATTTGGGGTCCCTTGAAATTCCTTATGAATTTTAGAATGGGTTTTCCGTTTCTGAAAAAAAAATGCCATTGAGATTTTGATAAGAATTGCACTGAATCTGTAGATTGCTTTGAGTATTGTTGTCATCTTAACTATATTAAGTCTTCCAATCCATGAACACAAGATGTCTATTTATTTGGGTCTTCTTTCATTTCTTTCAAAATTTTTCTATAGTTTTCAGTGTGCAAGTCTTATACCTCCTTGGTTAAATTTATTGCTAAGTATATTTTTTCTTTTTCAATGCTATTGTAAATGGAATCATTTTCTTAATTTTCTTTTCAGATTGTTTGTTGCTAGTATATACAAACACAACTGATTTTTGCATGATTTTGTATCCTGCAACTTTGCTGAATTCATTGATCAGCTGTAACAGGTTTTTTTTGTGTGTGTATTTTTTTAGGGTTTTCTATAGATAAGATCATATTATCTGCAAATAGAGATAGTTTCACTTCTTCCTTTCCAATTCGTATGTATTTTATTTATTTATTTATTTGAGGGGGTGGTACATGCCCCTAGCAGGAACCAACCAAACCCGGGACTCTCTGGTCCGTAAGCCGACGCTCCAACCGCTGAGCCAAACCAGCCAGGGCTCGAATTAACACCTTTTTTTTTTTGGTATGTGCCCCTAGCGGGAACCGAACACAGGACTCTCTGGTCCACAGGCCAACACTCAACTGCTGAGCCAAACTGGCCAGGGCTATTTTTTTCTTGACTAATTGCTCTGACTAGAACTGCAGTACTATACTGAAGAGAAGTGGTGAATGTGGGCATCCTTGTCTTATATCTGATCTTAGGAAGAAAGTTTTAAGTTTTTCTCCATTTGAGTATGATGTTAGGTATGAGTTTTTCATATATGGCCTTTATCACGTTCAGGAAATTCCCCTCTATCCTTTGTTTATTGAGTGTTTTTATCACAAAAAAAAGTGCTGGATTTGGTCAAATGCTTTTTCTGCATCAATTGAGATGATCATGGGGTTTTTTTCCCCTTCATTTTATTAATGTGGTATATATACATATAATAATTATTTATTTTGAGCATATGTTTATTAAAGTTGAGAACAGTGAAACATGGAAGTGATTAGGGTAGAAGCAGCACAGGAAAGAGCCTAGATGAGGCTGCTTTGGCTCATTGGAAAGTCAGAGGATAGAAGAAACAACAGGAGAAAGCCTAGGCAGGGCTGTTTTGGCTCTCTAGAACTGTTATAGAGAAGCAATGAGCCTAGGCTGGTCTGCTCTGGCTCACTGAAAGGTCAGAGAAAGGTTCAGGGCTGCCCAGGACAAGCAGCCACTGCCTATTGCTCCCCTAGTTGCAAGTCTCATGGGGAGCCTTATTAGAGTTTAGGAGATACATGCCTGAGAGGGAAGAAAGGTATGGGCATGCTCCTGAGAGGGAGAGCGTGCCTAATATGGTATATTATAGTGACTGATTTTTGTATGTTGAACCATCCTTGCATTCTGGAGTAAATCCCAGGAACGTAAACAATGCCAACCTTCTCATTAACTTTTAAAAATATATAGTTATTTTAAATAAAATTTTATTTGTTAACATTTAAGGATATAAAGCCCTGGCCAGGTAGTTGGTTAGAGTGTTGTCTCAATATGCCAAGGTTGCAGGTTCGATCCCCAGTCAGGGCACATATAAGAAGCAACCAATGAATGCATAAATAAGTGGAATAACAAATTGATGTTTCTCTTTCTCTTTCACTCTCCCCCCTTCCTCTCTCTCTCTCAAATTAATTTTTAAAAATTGAATATTTTTAAAAATTAGTATGTTATTTTAATTTTTCTGCTTTAATTGTTATATGATAAATAATGACAGGTATAACCCACATAATCAAAAACTTTGCGATACTCAATAATTTTAAGAGTGCAAAGGGTTTGAGATAAAAAATTTTGAGAACCACTGCCCCAAATGCATATCATTACTAATTTAGAAACTTATATAAATAATAACATATAGAATACAAAATACCTGGAAAAGAAAGTCCTACAAGGTGTTATTTCAGCCAGTCTCCTGGACTGGATAAAAGCAGAGAAGGAATGACCTATGAAAAAATGCACTAACCTGTTTGCAAAGGCTACCCCTCCTAGCTTTAAATTTACCTGATACTGTTGCCATATCTGATTTTGAATTTATATACACTGGATCCTGAATGAAGAAATCTCGTCTCTGGAAATGGGTAGGTGAAGGGTTTTAAACTCATTGCTCCCAAACGATAGCCTAAATAAAATAGAAATATTAAACAATTATTAAAAAGCTAAAGAAGGTTCCTTAGGAAAGAGAGCCTGCCCAAACTGTAGCATTTTCTATGTCCCAGGCTCAGTCAGTTCTGATATTCATCACCTGAACCACTGACTGTCCTACCTGCATTGGGAAGAATACATGGTATTTTGGGACAACCTCTATACTTGAAGTAAAAAATACTGAGCATGTTTTGTCATTTTCCTTAAAACTTTGTGCAAATCACTTCTCTTCCATGAGACTAATACTAACATCTGATGACTCAGACAGGATTTTTGTTAGGATTAAATATGTATCCCCAATTATCTCTTGAATCTATTCTCCACCTCTGTCTTCACTTTCCCTGTAATCTAGGCCAATGTGAACAGGGCTCAAGCCAAATAATGAAATAATCTAAAGGATATACCAGTAAGAAGCACAACTGGGAAGACCTCTCTGCTATTAATTTTACATGCAGTTAAGGGAGGAGCACACTTCCCTGCCAGAGCCAATGCAGCAAATAAGGATGTACACTGTTCCCAGTGGTGCTGAGGAATGCCTCACCTTCCCTACTTCTCAATCACTCTTCCTCTTCACCACTTGTGAGACTGCACTGTGCCACTAGTGCTTACTATCCTCCTAGTACTTATTAGTTTTACTTTTCCTAGTCTAGACTCTTTGCCCACTTAAAGTTCTTATTGTGGGAAACTCAGGAAAGGGGAAAGATGGAAAAAGAAGGATGACATGTCTCTTCTCCTCCAAGAGGGCAACTGGTATGTGCTCAGAGCTAAGAATCAAGCACACTGTGATTTTCTAAGTCACTAGGATTTTTCTGTGCCTCTTTTTTCTTTGTAGAGATAATAAACCTTGTACTTTCTGTCTCCTCATATAGAAGATTAAATAATAAATAATGAGAGTAAGAGGTCCATAATTCTTGAAGATTATAGCTACTTTTATATAATGCAAGATAATGTTTTCAAAGGAAGCCGAGATGAGGTAGACAGAACAGGCACAAAGTAAGAACAATTTAGGTTTAAATATCAGCTCCAATGTCCTTACTTAGTTTCTCTCAGCTTTGATTTTCTTATTTATACAATAATAACTAACAATTTTTTAATGTCCTCTTATCTCAATCCTCACAATAAGCCTATGAGTTAAATAAAATTTGGAAACTGAGACACTGAGAGATGAAGTAACCTCCATAGCTTTGAATGCTGGAAATGGAATTCAAACTAAAACAGTATAAATCCAGACTTGATGCTCTTAACTACTTTTCCATTCTGCTTCCTGGGCTTATTATGAAGGGGAAAAATAATGAATATAAAATCATTTTATAAGTACTAAAATATTATACACACATAAAGGACTATTTTCATTATTCTTTACTCCACATTACTGAGCAGAAAAAACTCCTGTATGGTGGAGTCAGAAGATCTATGTGCCCAAATAATGGAATTTCCCACAATTTCCCAAGTTCAAGCCTAGGGCTGCCAGTAAAGAGATATCCCAGTGTCTGATCTTGGCTGCTTGGGATTAGAATGACCGGAGGTTGGAGCCAGAGCCCAGTAGACTATTTAGACTAGAATTGCAGTCAAAAGTGAAAAGAAATAGTTGGTGCCAACTGCAAAGTTACCAGAGGGGAAATACTGTTCATATCCTGAGAAAAACCTTGCTGATTCTCCATACCTAACGCATAGCAGGAACCCAGGCTAGATTTGATGGTGTTTTGGGTTCTAGATGATTTTTCTAAGTAGGCAGGGGGTTTACCTAGTGAGACTTAGGTTGCTGCCACAAAAATTTAGATCTCAATTATTCAGAGGGTTTTTCTGAAATGCAGTCCTCTCTCCTCATAGACTGAGGGCTGGGGGCATGAGAGCATGAAGGACATTTACTGGAAATGACAATCCAGAGAGGACAATTCATGTGCTGCACTACTGAAAGAAGTAAAAACAGCTCTCTTCTAGCTGGAGCCTATTCCTGTCAATTGTTGGCTGCCCACTTCAGAAATAAACATCATACACTAATTACTTCATTTGAAAATAAAGATTAGACAGAATAATCCAAAACAACCACATAGTAGTAGTGGTTCAAAGATTTCACAAGGTGCCCTGGCCAGTTTTGCTCAGTGGCTAGAGCGTCGGCCCAAGGACCAATGAGTCATGGGTTCGTGCCTGGCCCTGGTCAGGGTCGTGTGGGAGGCAACCTGTCGATGTGTCCCTCTCACGTTGATGTTTCTCTCTCTCTCCCTCTCTCCCTCCCATTCTATCTGAAGATAAATAGAAAAATATCCTCCAGTGAGGATCAAAAAATAAATAAATAAAGATTTCACAAGGTTATTTTTCAACGTGAATATAGCAGTCATGGCAACACTATGTCCCTGTAACTATTATTAAGTTGATAGGATCCTGCAGATGAAGGGACAGACTCTCGACCCATTTTTAGGTGATCACAAAACCTGATGGCATTAAAACAAAAGAAGAAAAGTTATAGGCAATATGGGATCATGGAAAAGATACAAGATTTGGAATTGGAAGACCAAGGCTTGAGTCTTAGCCCTGTCTCTTATTAGTTATTAAACCCTCAACAACTCGCTTAGCCTCTTAATTTCTCAGTTTCTACTTCTACAGATCAGGATCCCACCTACTTCTGGAATTGTGGGCACTGAATAAGAGATAATGTTATAAAACAGCACTTCATAAATTCAAGAGTATTATATAAACATTAGCTGTTTGGATAGATTTTAAGTTTCTCTATTAATGCTTCACTAGAAAAGCAAATTCAAAAAACAAAAACTGATTAGCTTTAATCTCAGTGCAAGATCTGACAAATCCCAATCAAAAATATTTCCTTGAAAATCCCCAATAATTAGACTTAAATGACACATTGGCACTGATATTAGAAAGAGAAATATTTTTCACGGTTTTAGTAATTTGTTTCACATAAAGGAAAATCTGTGTCAGTGCACAGAACCTGAAGCTGGATTGAATGCTATATGAAGATAATGACATTGTCTACTGAGGTAGAAGAAGATGATAATTAAGTACTGTCACTAAATTTTTCCGGTGTTATTTGATAACTTCTCCTTACACCTTCAAAAAGTCCATGGCTAGCCCGGCTGGTGTAGCTCAGTGGCTGAGCATCAACCCATGCACCAAGAGATTGCCGGTTCAATTCCTGGTCAGGGCACATGCCCAGGTTGCGGGCCCAATCCCCAATGTAGGGCATGCAGGAAGCGGCCAATCGATGTTCTCTCTCATCGATGTTTCTGTCTCTCTCTCCCTCTCCCTTCCTCTCTCTCTGAAATCAATAAAGAAAACAACTTTTTAAAAAGTCCATGGCTACTGGCCAGTTTGGCTCAGCGGTTAGAGCGTCGGCCTGTGGTCCGGAGAGACCCGGGTTCGGTTCCCGCTAAGGGCACGTACTTCGGTTGCAGTTTGTCCCTGGCCCTGGTTGGTTGTGCGGGTGGCAGCCACTCGATGTGTCCCTTCACGTCGATGTTTCTCCCTCTCTCTCCCTCCCATTCTATCTGTACAAAAAATGGAAAAATATCCTCGGGTGAGGATTAAAAAATAAAAGTCCATGGCTAGCTCTGGCCAGGTGGTTCTGTTGGTTGGAGCGTCATCCCTCACACCAAGAGTTTGTGGGTTTGATCCCAGGTCAGGGTGTATACAGGAGGCAACTGATCGATGTTTCTCTCTCACATAAATGTGTGTGTGTCTCTCTCTCAAAATCAAAAGCATGTCCTCAGATAAAGATTAAAAGAAAAAAAAAAGTCTGGCCCTGGCCAGTTTGGCTCAGAGGTTAGAGTGTCAGCTCGTGGACCAAAGAATCGAGGGTTTGATTCCAGTCAAGGGCACACACCTTGGTTGCGGTTTGTCCCTGGCCCTGGTCAGGTCATGCGGAAGGCAACCAGTTGATGTGTCTCTCACCTCATTGTTTCTCTCTCTCTCTCTCTCTCTCTCTCTCCCTCCCTCCCTCCCTCCCACTCTATCTGATGATAAATGTAAAAATATCCTAAGGTGAGGATTAAAAAAAAAATCCGTGGCTAGCCTCGGAGGTCTGCCTGCTTTGGCTGAAATAGATTCAGACTCTTTGAAAGTCTGTATTTCCAACTAGAGAGCTATGGTTGCCCTTTGTTTTAGAGGGGACAAGAGGGAAGAGCTTCACCGAAGAAAAAAGTTAATTTCCACAAGGTCACAACTCAGTATAGAACCAGGATTAGCACCCTAGAGACTGTTGATTCCTTTAGCCCATACATTTCCAATTACAACACATCATTCAGTTAGTCATTGTATTAAACCATAACAGAATTCAAAAGGTCACTCTCATAACTCTGGATGACTCAAAAGGCAAACTTATCTGAGTAGAAGCATAAAACCAAAACGTAAGATTTTCTAATTAAAGGTTCTTAGAATTATATCTTGTGGTGTAAAGGGTTACATTCACATTTGTTTGTCTTCGAGCTCTATTTTCCTTTTTTTTTTCCAAGCTCTATTTTCAGTTTCCTCATCTTACAGGGTGATTAGAATGGTTAATGAAATAATGCATATATAATTGTTTACTGTAATGCTCTATACATAGGTTACTCAATAAAGAGTAGCCCTTAAAAAAAAAAAGTGCTAAAATATGGGACAGGAAGAGACTGATCTAACACTACTCAGGATACTTTCATGATTATTGATGTCACTCTTTCTCATTAGGTTTCTTCCTACTCTTTCTGGTAAGGCACAATCTTTAAAATGCCATTGGCATTTGTTTAGGAATAGATTTTGTTTTGTTTTGTTGGGAGGGAGTAACTAAACTCCTAACAGAGAGGTAGGAAGATGCCCTGAAATGAAATCTAAAGGCCTTAGTGGACAACTGCATAGACCCAGAAAGGTGTCTAAGTCAACCCCTAAGATACTCTTTGCACCTAAGTGCCTCTTCCACTTCCATCTTAACCATCATAGAAGCTAAAAGAAAAACTATCTTTCATCAACAGGT